ATCGTATCAGGTCCTTGATACAGCTTATCGTCCGAAGAATAACCTCTAAAGGTTGCGGCGCAATCTAGAACTATTCTCAGTTTATCTGGCTTTTTCGAATTCATTACCGGATGATGTGGAAGATACCACCTCGGGTGATAGTTGGCTGCTAGCTGCTCTGGGGGTACCGGAAAGTCATAACCATTTTTTAACATCGTATTTATCCCATCCACATATCGTGCTAAAAGGTTCTTGTCACGCGATAACCTCCGTTTCAGACTGAGTAACCGATTTATGGTGACTACATAATTATTGTCCGTTACCTTTGCTGGATCTTGCCATGGCAAGGAAATGACGTAATTCCCCTTTTCTAAGACGGTGCTTTGAGTAACCAACTCGACTGCCTTACGATCTTCGATAGAAAATGAGTGTTCTTACACCACACTTCTTTTAAACCTATCCATAAATTGTGTTTGGCAGAGGGCGTATCCTAAAGTTTGTGGAAACCCTAGCTGGCAATCGGGAAGTTTAAACGACATTTATGCGATCAAGGCGGCAATTTGTCATCCCACTAAACCTTCCTTGGTGTAAACTTTGTTTTGATACTAGCCAGGGTAGATGTACTATTACCTCTGTTATTTGGCTTTATGATCTTCATTGAAATTTTGACCTTCACTATATCGTTTTAACTTGACCTAACTCTATTTTTTCACATCTTAAGTCTTTATTATTTTCATATGTATATTCCTATGACAAGTGCGTGGAGTGTGATCAGATCTTTAGAAATGTGTTGCACAAATACGCGACACGATTCAGACAAATTACCTCTTTTTAATGCTTTTTCTAAATAATATACTTTTGAATAAGGTGTTTAGAAGACAGATTTAGCGAGTTGATGGCATCATGTCGTATTTTCTTCACAACCGCTTTACAACTAACATGGTTAACAGTAATAAAACAAAAAATAAAATGAAGATCATGGCAATTACTCAGTTACATAAAAAAGTACTTACTAATGACCAGTCATATTTAAATAGGTCAAGTAGTCCAAGGTAGGCGAAGATTGAAGTCTATTATTTTTCGTACAGATAGTCTAGGATGTATGTGATTAATCCCCAAAGTGCTTCCACCAACTTCAATAACCGTGAGTTAGAGTTATGTGAAATAATTGTGAAGCAGTCATTAATATTGATTTTGTGACCTGACGTTAATAAGTGTTTTGCAATGGATGATGATGGATTTCTATTCAGATTAATAATTGCATTGGGATTTTCTATGTGCCTTAATAACCATTTGGAACATGTTCTTTTCGACGACCACATTGGAACATCCTATTGGTTTACCTATATAAGTGTCACTGCAACAACTGCCAGTGAACTTGTAGATACATCTTGAAGTAGAGTCCACAGAATTTTGTCCTTTAATCGTAGGTAAAAGGATCGAAAATGTTCAAGATGTAAGGGCAACCAACACATGCAGTGTAAAATTTACACTTGATGGCTGACCGAAGTCTTTGAGCTGTCAACTGCATAATTTGATCACCTTTGAATGGTAGGTTAATAAAAATAGCTTTCTTTAGTACAGAAACTGTCTCTTCAAGGTGTGGTCTATCCTTCCTGTGAGAACTGATAAAGTAAGTTTTCTGGATAACCATTAGCTAATAAAATTGACTGTGTATGTCGAAGATCACTTATCATTGTGTCGCTCGTGTATATTTTGCGGGCCCTTGAAAATAAACATTTCATTAGGGAATTCGAATCGTACAACAAACTTGGTTTCTTGGATATTTCAATGACTAGGAGAAAAGATAGAATATTTAAGCGATCTATATTTCCTAAGCAGACATGGAGTGGATATTATCTTTATTTTGTCATCATTATCATCAGTTTTGTTCCTATACGGTATAAACGTTCCATACTGAAATGTTTGTTTTCAAGAGCCCGCAAAATATGCACCGGTGACACATTGATGGACGCATAAATCAGGTTTCAAGCGCTTGATGGAAATGGCTTCAGTAAACTTAAGGAGAATTGAGCTCTTTTGCCTATTGATAATTTTGAACGACTTTTCGACGTCCACCTCATGACCGACCCGTGTCGAGGAGATGCCTGGCGATGGCTTCATTCGATTCACCCCATTTTTTTAGTTATAAAAACAGTTATTTTAAGATTGTTTCCGTGATTTTTTTGCTTACATTTATAATTCGTCTAAAATAACTATTTTACAACTATGTCTTATTCCTGTGCAATTTTTGTGTTGCTAAGGCTCTTGTAATCTATATTCACACCTCCTAACTTCCATTTAAATTTAAAATTATTATTTCAATTAGTTTCCATGCTCATTTTTGCACACTTGTTATCCGTTCTAATCCTGTGTAATTTTGTTTCCAGGCCTCTCGTAAACCATATCTAGTTGAAAATAATTGTTACCTATGAATCGCCGTCGTAATTATGTGGAATCAAACAAGAATTGTATCCATGTAAAATTAGGTATTTAAGTGGAATTGTACAGCTACTTTTGAAAATGAAATCACTGAAAAGATCGCCATCTTTGCTGAACTTCATGTTCTCTTCTTTCAAATACAAGATGAACTAGTGCAGATAGCAATGACCAGAAGGAGAAGCTGAGTGCAACCTACAAAACAGTGAGCAAGAGAGAGTGAATGAGAGTGCTATGAAAGACAAAAAATATTTTTACGACACACTGGCGACTGAAGCAAAACAGGCTGCAAGTAAGGCAGACCTCACAACACTAAGCAGGTCACTCAATATCCAGGAAGAGATCAACGCAGATTAAGCAAATGACAAATAGTGAAGAAAACGTAGTTCACAAAGAGGTAGAAATAGGGAATTATGAGCTGATCACTTCAGAGAACTCTCTAATAGAACACCATCTACAACTCTTGCAGAAGTAGCACCAACAGATATAGAACTGCCAGTAAACACCAACCTCCAGACAAAATCCGAAGTCGTTAAGGCTATTAAGCTAATAAAACTTGGTAAAACAGTTGGAATTTCACCAAAGGTACTGAAAAAATGGCTCATGGGTCTCGACATACATGCGCTGCTACACATGATGTGGAAGGAAGAAGAAATACCTACGGAATGGAAGAAGGACTAGCATGTAGGAACTTCCAAGCAAATGTGATTTAAGCCTATTGAATAACTGTCACAATATTATACTTTTGTTCATCTCAAGCAAAATATTAAGCTTCATCATCCTGGAGAGGTTAAAGTTCACTTGAAACTGGCTGGATTCAACAACGTCTAATCAGTCATTACTTCTATGCGGTCGAAAAACTCGGCGGGAAATCACAAACTTTCGTGAACAGCTTCGCTTGCTAGTGAATTTTTTTTATTGCAGTTTGATACCTGCCAGGAAAGATGAGAAACGATGAATTGTGGTCGGCAGCTGCTGCTTTCCTCGTTTGCTAATTTGTAACAAACCTTTTTTGTTCGTTTAAAACTCTTATTTCTGTCAAAGATCTTAGACGCTGGGCAAAATCACACATTCAAATGACGTGATTACTGATTACCAAAATGAGTACGGAAGTTAGCTTGTTCAAAAATGTTGTCAGGGACTTGAACATTGTGTGCAGAGTAAAATTCATAGCAAAACGTGTCTAAACTTTCGCCAGATCATGTCTAAGTAATTTAGTGAAAAGACAATCATAAAGTGCTTTCCTGAAGACCCTGGAAAACATGTCATTAGTCTGCTAGGTCTGAAGCTAAATCGAAATGAGACTGAACATCCTCACTCGGATTCAAATTACACACCGCAGGAAAACTTGTGGATACTGTAGATATAGAGGTCTAATTTGGGAATCTATCCAACCAGTTAACCGACTTACATCCCATCAACAAAGATAAAGAACGCTGGTTCAAAAGAACATCAAACAGGAATGAAACACCTGATAAGCGCAATGAGGACGTCGTCACATCACAACCGGATTAACGGTCAGGTGTCTTACTGGCGGAAAATAGTGACCATATCAAGAAAACAGATCCAACTGTTAGAGACGCATCACAATTCAAAGCTACAAGAAACATTTGACAGACTCTACAGAAAAGTGGATCACAAAAACCTCTAGACAGATTTAGAAGAAGAAAATGCTGAACGCATAAACAGATTTATTTTCTGATCAGATCCACTCAATAAATCACGAATTCATCCATCCACAAAGATGGTCATCGGTTAGCTTATCTAAAACTTTAGCACCTTTTCTACAACGGTTGGCTCAACCAACCCATAAATGACTCATACAAATTAAAAGAAAAAGTGAGTCATTTAATTAGAATTTAATTTGAGGATGCTGACTAGCAGTGGAATCCAGGATATGCATTTCGTCCTATTTGTGACTTGTCATCTCGACGTATCTGCATTTCCCAATGAGTGATGATGTTCCCAAGAAATGTGCATCCTGGATTCCACTCTTAGTCACCATCCCCAAATTAAATTCTAATTAAATAAATGCCCAGACATCGTTGAACCATCTGCACAAGAAGCCGACATGTCAACCTGAGACCGAGCACTTCGGTTCAATCAATCGACGGGGAAATATCAAATTCACTTAAAAAGTGAGTCAACACTTAATGTGCGTAGTAAATTTGTCTTCTTTTTTGTGATGTGACCTGCCTGCTTAAACACGATCCTAAATATTCGATCACAGGACTGAATAAAACCTGATTGCGGCTTCTTTCCAATGCCAACCAAACACTCTTCGTCTAATATCGATTGATGAGGAGCAAAAAACACCGGTGAATAAATGCGTTTATTCCATGCCTTTCAATTGAACAGAACATAAATCATAAGGCCTTGTTGATAAATAAATAACACAATGAGGTAAGCGATTCAATAAGAGCTGAGAGACAGTGATACATAGAGAGTGGAATATATATGGTTATAAAGAGTATAAAACAGATGAGTAAGAAAACTGATGATAATTAAAATTTTATAACTTTTGCATGAATTAGAGTATAAAATCAAAGTTTAAAATATATTATATCTGAATGACGGCAGTGAATTATAATGAGATGAGAATTACAATAATCAGAACCCAGATCATTCCGCCATTGTTAGGTATTATTGCACAGCTAGAATAGTAGAAGGCATTTCTCCCCATCATTTCACTTCACGAACAGCATCAAAATAATCAATAAGTGAACCAATCCAAACATCAGAATATTGACTTTGATGAATTGAACAATGTGATAATTTGGGGACATTTTCTTCACTTGTCTCCGCCCCACTGATTGGAATTTGTTTCCTCAACCATGCGACACAAACACGAGCAGACTCCAACGGTTCAACTATTCTACCGTTGACTTTCATCTGAGAAAAAGCTTGTCGTGTCTTCTCATCTCCATGCCCTTCTAAAATCTGTTTAAACATTGCGGTATCCAGTGGGCCAGGAGAATAGTTGAACACAGCGATCGATGGACGATCAACGCATAAACACTTCAAATACATTTGTCTCGCAGCTTTGCCTACACAATAATCAGACATACACGGAAATGGTTGGACAGCTGCTAGACTCGAAATATTGACAATTGTAACAGGATGGTGTAGTGACTGACTTGATGGTGCGAAATGCTCTAAAAATAAACTTGTCAATATCATTGGAGCAGTGAGATTCATGCGGTAATATGTATCCAAGGCTTGAATATTAAAGCGTTCGTCAGTTCGTGATTGTACATTTCCAAGTGTTGCAGCATTGTGTACAAGCATGATCCATTGGCTTACATTAGTGTCTTGATGAGAAAGTTCTAGTGATAAGCGAAACAACGGAGCCAGTTCTTCTCTTAAGACTTTTTCATCTGCATTCGACATGTCCAGAGATGAAGTGGAGACGAGAATATTCAACTTCATAGTAGAATGACTTGACTTTGAAGCATTCATCTGTAAATTTAGATTTGAAAACAAAAAGTTAATATAAGGGAAGGTGAGACACTGTGTAGTCTCTATTACTATAGTTTATTCATCTTCCAGTCAGTCAAGTGTTTATTGTACCTGTCTGAACCCCTGTAGCATATACGTTCTCATGTTTTACATATATCTCAGTGTTTCATCCACAAACTTTATTCTTTCTAGGTGACCTACAAGTTAATACTCATTTGGAGATATACTGATGTAGATGTACTGATGGACTTAATCCCAACCCACTTCAGAGGCTCACGGATTGACTTGCTACCAGGGAATAATATCGTTGACTTAGAATATGCAGACGATATAGTCCTTCTGGGCGAGGACGCTGACAAAATGCAGAGTCTTCTAAACACCTTGATCTGCAATCTACGAATGTTTGGCATGCGATTCGCTCCCGCAAAATGCAACATGTTGTTACAAGACTGGAATAAACTGACCCCTAGTCAGCTCCGTCCTCCTTTATGACTGTGAGACGTGGCCATTGAGAGTGAAAGACATGAAAAGATTAGCTGTCTTCGATGATAGGTGCCTGCACTCTATCTCCCGTGTGAAGTAGTATAGTAGGGTAAGCAATATTGAGGTTAGGTGTCTAGTGCTAGGTAACGAGGAGAAATCAATCGATGAGGTTGTGAAATTACATCGACTGAGATGGTTAGGACATGTGTTATGCATGCATGCCTAGTCATTGCCTTCCTCGACAATGGGCAACGCTAACTGATATGGGGTCAGGCTGGAGTAGATGCATCCACTCCTTGTGACCTATGATTTCCAATGAAACTATATTGTTCTTCAGTATTACTATTCCTTTATCTCAGACCTCTGCTTATTGTCTCTATTATGCATTACTTCTACTTTTTTCTCTTGCTTTGTGTGCTACAAGGAGTGGAGTGCGGCGAACTGAACTGCTGCACATATGTGCAAAGTTCTATGTCGAAAACTGACAGACAAACTCCTTTGGAGAACATATATCGTTCTTCTTCCACTCTTTGAAAAGATTCCGCTAACTGAGCTAAATAGAACCGACTACATCTGTGATGAGATTGCCAACAAACCAGAGAAACTAACGTCAAGCGTTTGGATCATCTCAATTTGAGTGATGAGTGGTCCAAAACTACTAATTCCAGTCAATCAATCAGTCAGTAGTGTATAGCTTTGAGCAAAGTAAAATGACTTCATGACGACATGAACTTAATCAGCTCGAATCAATACAGTCTGATATCACACAACTGGATCTAAATATATCACCAAAGGAATAATGCATGTTCCGACATTCACGAGGATTTGAGACTGCAACGTATGGAATATGTTGATGAAATCGCCGAATCTGATTACTCAAAAGAAATCGAAACGAAGACAACTGATGAAAGGTTAAAAAAGACGAAGTCCCAAATGTAGATTTCCTGATAATCCAAAAAAGTACATCCACAACATTTCTAGCGTGACTCTTGATAAACTACAACTTGAAGCGTTATCTCTAGGACCTAAGTTTTGTGATTTTCCTACGGAGATTAGTCAGATTGACACCGGTGTACAGTTTGAGAACTTCTATATCTACAAACAGGGGAATTGGTCACCTCCACTGATGAGGACGTCGAAAGATGCATATCAACCCTGATAAACTGTTGCTATCAGTATAGACAGAAGGATAAGAATAAGCCACATACTATACTCATAAAAGAGCGTCACGAGGCTGTTAGAAGACTAAGACAAAATGAAAACATAGTTAATACCAGACCGGATAAGGGACCAGAGGTAGTAATTATGGATATGCAGGACCACATTAGCAAGATGAACTCCATACTAGATATGACGGCAGCAAGTTTAAAGAGCCGAAAGTAATGAAATATCATGCGCAGAAAGTAGAGAGAGAAATAACAAACTTAATAAAGGATTTGAAAGGTAAAGGGTAATATTTTTTAAAAAAAAAAACATTAACGGCATATTTTTTGTACAATCCTAACTATTAAATAATATTTTCTAATTTAGGTTACTAAGATTAATCGCGTTAGGATTTTCGATATGATTTACTAGCCATTTTGGGTAATATACCATCGACAGATTTCGAAAACATGAAACCCACAGAGAGCACAATCTCACGCATGTATGTTCTACTGAAAGAGCATAAATCAGGAATGACCCTACCTCCATACTAAACATGTCTCATTCACCCTATCACGAGACGACAAAGTGGCTGGTACAGCTAATTCAACCCTTGCATGACGAGTTAGTGAAGTATAGTGACAAGGGAAACTTTCAATTTATTGACAAGATTAAGAACTTGAACTCAACTGGAAAGTACATGTTTCATCTCTATTCACTAATGTGCCTCTAGTATAAACCATCAAAAATATGTCTGCGAACATATTATAGGAAGGAAATTGTGCACTGATATTCCTATCAGTAATCTGAAACAACTACTAGTTAAATGTACGGCAAATGTTCAGTTCTTGTTTAATAATGAAATGTACAGACAGAATATCTTGGATGACGAAGCTAAGGTAAAGTGTGTACTCAGCTTTGGCATCTAGATTTCTAAATATGGTTCTTTTGACAGAACTATCCTATCTTCTCATTAGTAGGACGTCGAGGAAGTGTAGAGAGTCGTTGTTCCATATTAGTTTATTTATTAGATACATCACACATTGAGTGAAACAGTATTATTTACTGGATGACGTTTCAAACACAATTAATTAGTGTTCATAATCATGTTCTCAGTTATAATCACACGACTTCGAAACTTGAAATTTATAGTTTTCTTTGTCCTCTCCTATTTGTCGTCATAGAGGTAGTAGAATTTTCCAGATATCTGGGACAGTTGTTGAGTCATTCCTATTACATGTATTTCCTGTAAGTTAATTCGATAGACAAAGCTTCTGTTATCAGTCTCTCCCCGCACCCTGTGACGTTAGATTTTAGAACTGTCATTCTATCTCATCCATCCTATTGTATGATTGTGTGCAATTGCATGTGGTGTAGTGCTATAGCTGAACTATTTTCTAGATTTCTTATCTTATTCGGGTCAATTAATCTAGATTTCACTAGGTTTTTATGCTCAGCTAGTCTGACTGCCCCTGTTCTACTACTTTGACCTGTGTATTTGACCTGACAATCATTCCAGCAGGGTATTAGGTAAACTAAATTGTTTTGTTTTATAGGCTCCACAGGATTGACCCTTTAACCGACAAAGCTTTTTTCTAATTGAGTTTGTGGGTGGTTTGAATGGCAGCCACTTTTATTCCTGCCTTGTTAAGAATTCTGCGTAAGGTGGTTTCTGAGGTTCCTTCCTTGTATGGAATTAGTACTGATGATTTAGATTCTTTATTGTCGGTGTTGTCTCGCGCATATTTGACATCCATGTCGTCATTAATATTATTATTATCACTTCTATCATTATTTATTTCGTTTTTATATCTCACTTCATATTTCCTGACTATTTTATCAGGGTAATTATTAAGTTTCAAGATGTCACTTATATGTTTCATTTCCTGTCTTAGATTTTCCTTGGTACAACTTAGTTTTGTGCTCTGTCACTTAAACATTTCACCAATCCTATTTTTGCCGTCATAAGGTAGGATGATCGGAAGTTCATATATATGTGGGTGTTTCACTTCCCATCTTCTTCCCTTTTTACGTTGCAATCTAACATTGAAAGCTCTTCTTCTTAACTTTCCAATGCATAAGTGAACTGAATTGCCTCCACCTTCGAGTTGACGTGTTCGAAAAATCTATCTATATCCTGTGTTCTAAGTACAGTGAATGTGTCATCTACATACCTCCACCATACTTTTGAGTTGGAGGTAAATTTTCCAATCGCTAATTTTTCCTAACTATCCATGAATATATCTGCTGCAATCGGGGATATTTGTGATCCCATGGCAACTCCCTCAGTTTGTTTGTATTTCTTGCCTTGGCATTTAAATACTGTGGAAGCCAGGCATAGCTGAACTCCCAGCATTATGTCCTCAAGTGGCACTTTTGTCCTAAGTTCGAGTTCTTGGTCAGAAATGAGTTCGTTTCTGACTGCCTCTATAGCCATATTTATCGGTGTATGTGTATATAAACTGACAATGTCAAAACTGATCATTTTCTCTTCATTATGTAATTTCAAATTATCTAATCTGTGTTTTAGTTCACAAGAATTAGTTAGTCTAGATTCTAAGGGGCTTTTTAGGGGATTTAATATCATGGCCAAATATTTAGATAATTAATAGGTAGGGGAATTTCTAAAACCAACTATTGGCCTAATAGGGTATCCTGACTTATGAATTTTAGCAACACCATACATCCTACTGGGGTTATTAGTTTTGGGCATTAAATTAAGCCACTTAGACTAGCCTAGAAACGGCTTCATTCGGCGTAGGAGGTCCACTGTGGATTTCTTAGCTTCATTCATAACTGTGTCTATTGATTTATTAATTTCCTCATATGGTCCTGTTTGTATGTAGGTGTTTACCTTGTCCAAATAGTCTGATTTGTCTAATACTACTGTTGCATTTCCTTTGTCTGACTTTGTGATTACCATATCCTTGTTATTCTTAAGGTGTTTCAGGGCTTCTATATCTGGTTTTGTCAGGTTAGATGACAAATAGGAGAGAAGAGTGAAAACTTTAGAACCCAAGTTTCGATGTCGTGTGATTACAACTGATAAGATTTTGATCAATAAATTTTGTTCGAAACGTCATCTAGTATTTTTTTCAGTGTTCGATATATCTAATTAACAAACTAATATGGAATTACTTACTACCACATTGCTCAATTTTTACACATATAATTATATGACTTTTGGTCATTCCTATATACTTACGTCTACGAACTCCATTTCCAACGGACAGTATTAGAAGCAGATTAGAAAGTCTACAAAAATTATACCTGAAAGAAGAGATCCACTGAATCATTAAAAAAGTTGCCACATATCAAATGTGAAATCAAGCAATTAAAGTAAAACCTAAAAGTAAAAGTTACCAATGTAGATTATGACCTTATAAACAGTCTGCTAGCAATGCTAAATCAACATCTTTCAAAAAGTCAAAAAATAGTCAAATCAAAAAGTTCAACAAACTATAAATTGAAAGGTATCCTTGTCACTATGCTTTACTAACTCGTCATGCAAGGGTTGAATTAGCTGTACCAGCCACTTTGTCGTCTCGTGATAGGGTGAATGAGACATGTTTAGTATGGCACCTAGGGTCACTGCTGATTTATGCTCTTTCAGTAGAACATACATGCGTGAGACTGTGCTCTCTGTGGGTTTTATGTTTTCGAAATCTGTTGATGGTATATTATCCTTTGCCTTTCAAATTCTTTATTAAGTTTGTCACTTCTCTCTCTACTTTTTTCTTATGATATTTCATTACTTTAGGCTCTTTAGACTTGCTGCCGTCATATCTAGTATGGAGTTCATCTTGCTAATGTGGTCCTGCATATCCATAATTACTACCTCTGGTCCCTTATCCGGTCTGGTATTAACTATGTTTTCATTTTGTCTTAGTCTTCTAACAGCCTCGTGACGCTCTTTTATGAGTATAGTATGTGGCTTATTCTTATCCTTCTGTCTATACTGATAGCAACAGTTTATCAGGGTTGATATGCATCTTTCGACGTCCTCATCAGTGGAGGTGACCAATTCCCCTGTTTGTAGATATAGACGTTCTCAAACTGTACACCGGTGTCAATCTGACTAATCTCCGTAGGAAAATCACAAAACTTAGGTCCTAGAGATAACGCTTCAAGTTGTAGTTTATCAAGAGTCACGCTAGAAATGTTGTGGATGTACTTTTTTGGATTATCAGGAAATCTACATTTGGGACTTCGTCTTTTTTAACCTTTCATCAGTTGTCTTCGTTTCGATTTCTTTTGAGTAATCAGATTCGGCGATTTCATCAACATATTCCATACGTTGCAGTCTCAAATCCTCGTGAATGTCGGAACATGCATTATTCCTTTGGTGATATATTTAGATCCAGTTGTGTGATATCAGACTGTATTGATTCGAGCTGATTAAGTTCATGTCGTCATGAAGTTATTTTACTTTGCTCAAAGCTATACACTACTGACTGATTGATTTATTTATTAATTGAAATGAGTAGTTGCGAACCACTCATCACGCAGATCGAGTTGATATTTACACCGAGCGTTCGTTTTGCTTCTTTGATGTCAAGCAGGTTCGTAGATTACAATAAACAAACTGATATGCACGATTAGACATATGCGTCTACGAGTTGGTCAGTATTTACCAGCTTGGTTCACCCCGGTGGGGGGGGCAAATTGAGTCCATGAAAACCTCGATCCTGTCACACTTGGTGGATACTGCACATCACATCGACGTTAACATAGCTTTCAGGGTTATATACCGAATTTCGAAGTCGTTATCACGTACAGTTTGGTTACGTCTCCTACGCATAGCCGAAGCTGTTGCAGTAAGATCAACTCAACCGGAACTTTATATCCAAAACCAACAAGTCCAGATGATGTTGCTAACGTGGCCAAACTTGCATCAATGGTTATTCTTCTTCTCACCAAGAGTGCTCCTTCCCCTTGACCCTCTTGGTTTCTTTTCTTCCTTTGCTTACTATTACAACTATTATTATTAATCGAGATAATCTGTACCCTTTACGGAAACATTCTCTCAATACTATCGAATTTTCCATTTATACTATCTGAACTTATTATTAGTGATATTATCTCTTTTCTTAATATATGCCTCCACCTGTTTCATTTCACACATTCGTTATTTCATTATGAACCTCTCATTGCAGTCTCACCATCTCCTCCTATTTAGTGTATACCACTCTTTACTAGCCACTCACTCACCTGACACCTTTCATAACCTTGAACTGACTTGTAAGTTTTCCTAACCCATATTCTAAAAATGTGTTATGACTAATCACCACCATTGTCTCCCATTTTACAATATTTTGTAGTCGATCTCAGCCTAGAGCACGTTTGTCACATAAATATGACTATTTATTTTGACACCCCATAACAACTAATCCGTTATTCCACGTTAAAAAATTTATCCAACGCATAACTTGCTGTCATTAATGTGACGACAACAGATATTATATTTTATTAATTGTAAGAACCTGAAGAAGAGAAATCATTGAAAAGAATATTCTTCGTTCAGATCAACTTTTAAATAATCTTACATCTTCCTATGGTAGTTTTGTAAATTTCCATGTTCGAGATAGCGGATGACTGCATTCTCGACAAGTACCTCGTTGTTGAGTAGTATGTTTGATTGAGAAACTAGTGTCTAGGATGCCTAGTATGCAAAGGTCATCCGCAATCACTTGGGATTAAGGCATGCGATTGTTTAAATAGTCAGGCCTTGACGGAATCTACAATTAATATACATTAGTTAGAATTCATGGGCCATTGGGTCGGGTCCCAGTGGCTTAATGGTATACGAGCTCGCCTTGTAACCAGAAGGTCCTGGGTTCGAATCCCGGTGGGTGCGTACTGATGAAGAGTTCCAAACTATGATGAAACAGCTGTCCAGTACTCCCAGGTTTTCCACTGATTCTCTAATTAATGTCAGCTCATGATGAAATCCTGAAATCTACATTTATTTCTATTGCAATTTATATAAATCCAACACTAAGACATAAACACGCAGAAATAGTTGGTTAGCTACCTTAGACTCAGTTATCCGAAGTGCATTGACATCACGAGCCATCAATAGAATATTCAAAGAAGCAGCATGATCTTCACCAGATGACATTGATTTCACTAGTTCTATGCAGAAAGCTTGACCAAATCCACGACTTGCACCAGTTACTGCCACAAAACAATTGGCACCACACCATGGACTCTTGTTGCTTGATAATTCACCACATGTACAATTGTCTGTATATGACATCTAAGGGGACAAACGAAACAGGAAGCTAAGAGAACGCAAATATTTAAAAGTCAAACGGTCTTATTCACTTGACTGTAATTTTTTATAACGATGTCTAATTATGTGACGAAAGTTGACGTGATAGAAAGCCTGTCCGATGATATCTGCTTTCTTAGAATGGTTTGCATCAAGTTCATATGTTTCTTAAAACTGCATAAGGTCAAGTTGGGTATAATGCATATCATTCAACAATACTTGCCAGACTGACTGAAAAAATGAATTGCCTTAGTACTTGGTAAACTGAAAATTTATTCGAATACAAGTCTCTGTCATAAAGGTCTTTTTAAATTTGATCCGGAGTCCGAACACGAACCAGGATCTCACAAATGAGGAGTAGTAATAAGACATTTGACCAACAAATCAATATGGCAGCTTCAGAAGCAGTTAAAAATAAACTAACTGCAGATCCTGAACTCACTCAAAGGACAAAGTTGCCCATTGAAGAAATCAATTTTAGGAATTCAGATATGCCTCACATCTACTATCCTTAAATTCCAAGGCAAAATATATAGACAAACAGAAGGTGTAGCAATGGGGTGGATCACCAATATCCCCTATCGTAGCAGATATATTTATCGACAGTTGGGAAAATACTGCTCTTAATACGTTTGATCCTACTTCAAAAATATGGTGGAGATATGTGGATGACACTTTCACAGTGGTAAAAACACAACATATCACTAGCTCCTTGATACATACAAACTCATTAGTAGAGGGAATAAAATCCACATTTGAATCGGAAAATCAACGAGGAGAATCAGCTATGTTAGATTGTAAAATAAAACGAACAGAAGGAGGTAAACTGCACACTAGCCTTTATAAAAAGCCAACGCATTCTAATAGATATTTAGACTTTTATTCATCTCATTCGTTAACTGTTAAGGCAGGTGTAGTTAAGTGTCTAACAAACCGAGCAGTAGCACTTAGTAGCACAAGAAAAGACCTAAATGATGAAGTGAAACAGATAGAAGAGGCGTTGGTGTTAAATAACTATCCCATCAAATTCATTAGGAAGATCGATAAAGGTCAAAGGCAAAATAAAAATAATTGTGAAACTAGTAATGATAACTTAAATAAGAGAGAATATAAGGCATCTACTATTATACCGTATAAGAAGGCGACATCTGAGGCCCTACTTTGGATTCTCAATAAAGAAAGAATTAAGGTGGCATCCAAACCTACCAACTCACTCAGGGACGAACTCTATAGGCTAAAAGACCCGGTGGACTCAATTAAACAAAATAGAATAATTTACAAAATGCTTTGCAATGAGTGAGGTCAACTACGTAGGTCAGACTAGTGCGTCAGGAATAGCTAGATTGTCGAAACATAAGAATTTAGCTAAGGTGAGAATGGTTGACCCCGAGAAGATGAGTAATTTAGAAAAAACTCAGCAATTACACTACATGCATTAACACACAACCACACAATAGAGTGGGAGATGGCTAAGATTCCATAAAGTAATCTATGTAGGTGGAGAGAGAGATTGATTACTGAATCCTTGTTCGTCGAGTCTACAGCCAACACATGCAACAGAAATGACTCAACACAAATACCAGAAACATGGAAGACATTATAACCACCAGTCACATCAGAAGAGGATTCAATGAACGTGCATCAGAACATTCAAAGAAGTTACTTATTATGACTAAAAAACATCCTCATCTGATCGTAGATTGTGCGTCAGAACAGTTCGTTGGCGATGAAACCTCCAGGTGTGTATGACCACTAGAATGACGGAAAGGAAAGTGTCTCAAAATTTTTTCCATTATTTACCGAGCTATCTTGCAGAAATTTCATTAAGTAATAGGAATATGTGACAAGTGAACGTGAAAGTCAATTTGATAGAGTCACAGAGACAAGAATCAGTTGTGGCCAACTGCTTGAATAAACATTCAATTAAAATGCAATGCAATTGTTGCTTCTAAAAGTAATAGAGATTTTACCTTTTAGAATTTCGCAAACTGCTAGAATTTGTAGTGAATGTTTACATGACTTTCACCAAAAGAACAAATCATGAACTCAAATAAAGACAACAATTCATATATTTAACTATTTTTCGGCAATTATTTAAAAGCTGAAAAATACCTCAGTAATGACACCATTAATTACACTAATATTCCGTGATACAGAGTTGAATAACTCAAAACACTACTTTTGTCACCATCACTGTGACTGCGATTGTACGTTTCATGTTTCATTCCAGAATCCACACTGAATAAATTCGAAGTGTATAAATAAATTCTATTCATATTTGCATGATTAAACATCAACATTATGTGAAGAAACAGTTTACCATTAGTTTTTTTATCGTGTAGTCTGTGGCATGACAAACATTTCACCGATACTGCTCTACTACCTTCAAAATAAGGCTTCCTATGGGAAGTGAGACATGCCTCTGAGATGAATTTTCGGGAATTTTCTGTAGAATGTATAATCGATTTTTAATCTTATTAACCCTAACCGAACAAAGAAATGTGGAAGTGGGCGATAAAATTGCGGATAAAGGAATGAAATTTGGAACGGATGATGATAATGGTATAACAGTAAGTTGAAAAACTTGAACTGTGGATGGAAAGGTTTTGTGTAGGGTGAAAGCTCACGCGAGGTTCATAGAACCGTTGCAAGTATTCTTGCTAGTTTACAAGCGTTAATAAAAATATTTAAGGGAGTTAGGGGCCCTACAGTTGATTTGTAGACGAATTAAACCAAACGTTCAATAGGACATTTTAAAAAAGTCATTTTTTCCCAAAATTCCATGAAAATTCCCACTTAAAACGAAAATAATTCCTCTAAACACTTTTTATTTTTATATAAATCTTATGTAAATATCGTAGCTACTTACCGCCATTTAATGCGTGTTTCCTAGACTATGCTATACCGCAGCTATAGGTAAATGACTTCATAAATCTGCCAAAAGCTCACATGTATCTATCACCAGACACGTAAAACAAACGTAACTGTACATCCAACTTCCTCGTCAAGAGCTACAATGTGGCAAATTTCCTCCCCTAGGACGACTTCTTGGTAGCATAAAAATTGCTGTTTATCCTCTATGACTTCTTCATAGTCCATCCTTGAATTTGCGTGTCATAGCCTTAGTTAACCTAGACGGTGTAGTAGGGAAGGTTGGCTATAGTTGATTATTGGCAAGCGGCTGTTGAAGCTATGGAGCTGCTTTGTTTTAAGTTATCCCTCCAAGTGGTTACCGTATCTTCCTTATGATTACTAAGGACCTCCTTCTCTACTGGACAAAGTTGAATGATAAATGCCCTCCCATTTGCTTGACTAGGTTACCCAACTTCATTTAGAGTTCAACATGCTTAATAAATATACATTTCAGGTCGAGTAGTGTCTTTCCTCATTATACGTTCTATGAACCAGCAATTCTAGTAGTCATTCTGATGCCAGTGCTGGTCACAAAAATTTGGGAACACGAGCCGTTTACAAGCTTTAGGGTATATAAAGTCAACTACTATTCCTATTTTTTGTATTCTGGCTGTTTCCTCTGATCCCCTTAGTTCACTTTAACTCTCGTGCATTACGATATTTTCTTTGCCAACAATGGAGTGCAATTTAAAAGTTATTTCTACGTAGACAGATTCTTTCTTGACCATGAAAGTTATGTTACCTGAATATAATAGTCACGATCTGGAACAGTGTTTGGCTGAACTGGTGCACTAACTCGGGAAACATAACAAACAGGCCGAGAGCCCAAATGTAAGGACATAATCTCAGTTACCTTATTTCATTAATAGTGAAGCGTGGAAATCCGCACTTCAGCTCCTACTCAAGCAGTCATATGCTTCGCCTAAGCGTGAGGTGATGAACTATCTCTCGATGTATGCATACCGGTACATACAAAAAATTTTCTGGAGGAGGCCATGGGGGACGGATCCTCATCATAGCTCTTGGATCACATCCAAAACCTACTGGGAGGCAACACAGTGGGTTGGGCAGTACCAAACCAGGGCTGATTGTAATCCATCTCACGATACACGCAGTATACACTGGATGTTTAATTTCCCGTTTCTACCATTAAGCAGTTAACATGAGTTGCAGATTGAATGATGTGAGAGGATTCCCTGTGGTGAGAGCTGGCTGCTAGCCGACCGGTAGACAGTAATTTACGTCAATGTTTGTCCCAAATATTGGTTGTGAGAAAAATAAGAACAAAGACTTGCGTAAGCGGATACAGTTAGCATATAGATGATCTGATATTCAAGAACACAGCCACAAAGAGATGAACGATTAACTTTCAGTGAGAAAAAAACAATCAGAAGACCGTGTTTTTCTACTAACAATAATCTATAATAATGTAAATGAAAATTTATGAATATCTTTTGATTTCCTAAATAAACGATCTGTTGCCTGCCCCTTATCTTCTGTCATCACAGCCCTACAGAAGGACAAGTGAACGAATGCTGGTGACGGATCGATAGCCTCCAGTCAACAGGACGACTCTTTCGGTATCACAGGCGATTTGCCGCACAATAAAAGAAATGCCTAAACTACCTCAAAAGCAGCAGGACAACTACTAAATCCCTCTCAGGCGGTGGCAGTCAGTGCTATGTTGGTGGATAAACCTGAATGGTGCTTGCTGCCCTTGCCCACCACAAATCCTCTAATCTCCTCCCTTATTGTCCGTTCCACTGTGTGTAATCATCCCGTCTACGGTTAACTATTTTTGACGCTTGGTGACACCCATATTTCCGTCAAAAAATCGACAGAAGCAAGACGCGAATACACAGACGTAGACTCTGCTACCCTACACCTGAGTCCTCCAACACTGCTACAAGGTCACGAAACTGTTTCCGTAGTAACAAAACTGCTTTGCTCTATGATTATGGATGGTATCTTGTTCAATTTTCCTCAGAATATTTCGAGTCAGCTAGAACTGCACCCCTTATTATTACGGGAATATATTGTGAACACCTCAGGTTCAATGTAATAAAATCCTGAAATTTGAATTTTTCCAAATCAGTCAGTATCAACAGAAGAACTCGAAAACCAAGTCAGGACAAAAATAATGCAGAAATGAATTCGACTACACACAATAGAAACAACTGTCCTTCAAGTAAGGGTAAAGACTTACCGAACAATATTGATGCGTAGAACGAAATAACTAGTCAATCACATTTACACAAATACAATAAAATAGAACACAACGCATATCCAAGGTCAAATTCAAGTGGTGGAAGTCTATATTAATCTAGCCAACGACCACTTGATAATCACGAGAGACAAGTTCAGGTGATATCCATTGGTGGACTATCACGCAGTCTGTCTGTCATGATTAGCGGTCTGTCTATCTCGATTAGCGAGAATATTGACATTACGAAATTTATTTATAAATTTTGAATTTGAAGGCGTGGGCTGTCTAAAAGGATAGTTTCCGACTGCCCTAACCAGTGAACGCAATTTTACGTTGGCCTGAATGCTGACCGTAACTTTAACCGTTCACTAACATAAATTTGTTTTTCGCCTTCCCCTAATCTAACTGGTAAATGCAGTCTCAATCTAGGTCTGAACCAAAACTAAGGGTGACACGACTGCAAAATTGAATCAACAGGAAACCTGGAAAACAAGACGTACTTGGCGAACATGATTCTGGTTGTGATTGGTTCCAATCAGCTAATTCAAGGGATTCTTTCAGTTAGTTGCTATTATGAAACTACCGATTTCTCTTATAATAATAATAATTTATATTTGGTATAAACGGGTAAGTTTACAAGAAATGCATGCCATCTTTACAGGCACCATGTTGTAAACTACAATCCTGAAGCATCGTAAACTAATACTTTTTGAAAAGTTTCAATTGTTCATTTATTATAGAAGCAATTAGAACAGGTTCTTATGAATGTTGAATTGTAAACCGTTTACTAAACCATTTTTACCATCAAAGTTGAGCGACAACACAAACTTCGTTCCGTTTCCTGCTGATAGTTATGGTCAACCAGTGAACAGCATATATCTGGGTGAGTGCTATTCCGCCACGTGATTGAACGCTATTTCAGGAAGAGAAGAAAATTCCGCGCAGCTGCAAAATGCTTTAAAATGCAATTATGGATAATACATTATTGGAAGTATATTTACAAAATAAATACAAGAAGAAGAAATGATAGTATACATTTGCGATGTTTAACGCTAACCATATCGGTCTAAGTATGGAAAATATGATGTTTTCGATGAGGATATAACTTTGTTCAAACATTTGTGTTGTTGCGCTTTTAATAAAGGCAACCAGACTTTGGGCAAGCAACAAATATGAGCAAAGAGCAAGTTTTAGCTTAAATGATCGCCTAGGCAGTTAAGATTAGATATAGTATAATAGTGCGTAAATAAAAGGATTATTGTGAGGCAGGTAAGTGATTTTTAAGTCAGGAGTGAACTCAAAGATCTGGAAGCCTAGAAGCTGTAGAAAAAGCCGATCTGTAAGATGCCTCACGCATTTCTGGAGGGCCCAATGGGTGGCATCTTGACAAGAAGCTAAACAGGCTTGTATATGGTACGAGCCATAGCACTTTTTTATTTATAATTGAGATCTGTATAGCCCTTATTATTTTTTTGTTGAGGTTCCAGACTAATGTTTAATTCTCGAGCTGACAAGAAATGCATGTTGCTGTCCTACAGATCGGAGCGATTCACATTTGTGACCACTACCATATCTGCCAATTGGCACGCGCCACCATCCCACCTTTTTGATGTTAAGTACTGAGATTCTTTTTCGCAACAACTGTAGTTGCTGCATTGCATAGCTATGAGCCCGTCCCAGTCTACAGTAAGCTGTATATTAATAGCTTTCATGACAGGCGCTTCCCATTAGGTTACCAGACAAATCGATACCTGAGGACATTCTTAGCAGTATCACCTTTGTATATGCACAGATGTATACGAGTATTTTTTATAAACGCCTGGGATATAGCGTTTACTTTAAGAAGTATAAATTATAGAAGTGGCTAGTATTACAGCAACTTAGTTATAGTCGGCAGTATGACAACAAGATATAACGGCTAGGTTGCCTTACTGTGATCAGAATAAGTATAATATCGGATGCGTTAGATTTAAATGTAGGTCTGCAGACCCCTAATTATGAAGTGAATGAAAGGATATTGAAGTATCAAAATATGAAGAAATTCATGGATAATGAAAACTCGTGTATACGTGAAGATATAAATATGCTTTTAGATTGAGAACCGTTTTAAGACACCATGCTGTAAACGCTAAAGAATCAAATATATATATACATGTATATTGTATAAACGCATAAGTTTACATGAAATGTATGCCATTTTTACAGGCACGATCAGTTATGTTGTCAGTAAGTTTACAAAAAATTATCACAGATTTTTCGTAGTGTGGTTTGTAAGAGTTAGTTATGTTTTTACGAGTTGATCACGGGTTCATATCAATTGATATCACAGATTTATTGGAACTAGTGTAAATTATAGCATATAATTTACCGGACGTCCCTAACACGTTGATGTGAAAAAGAATCTCAGTACTTAACATCAAAAAGGTGGGATGGTGGCGCGTGCCAATTGGCAGATATGGTAGTGGTCACAAATGTGAATCGCTCCGATCTGTAGGACAGCAACATGCATTTCTTGTCAGCTCGAGAATTAAACATTAGTCTGGAACCTCAACAAAAAAATAATAAGGGCTATACAGATCTCAATTATAAATAAAAAAGTGCTATGGCTCGTACCATATACAAGCCTGTTTAGCTTCTTGTCAAGATGCCACCCATTGGGCCCTCCAGAAATGCGTGAGGCATCTTACAGATCGGCTTTTTCTACAGCTTCTAGGCTTCCAGATCTTTGAGTTCACTCCTGACTTAAAAATCACTTA